AAGATTGTTTTCTTTGGTAGATTCAATTACTTCAGTATATTCTTAATAAACAATGGATGATTAAATATTCAAATTGTTGAAATTAATGGTTGGCAATTTCATTCAAAAATACAGGAGAGATTAATTATTATTAAGAATTTATGAAATGTAATAAAATAAAAACTACGATGAGAATGTTTCTGAATCTTTGATGCAAGAATTGATTGATCAATTCAACGATGTGCATATTCAAGACTTTATTGAAAGCGATAAATATATTCTTGAATTGCTATTGATTAATCCAGATCAAGGTTACTCGAGCTTTTAGATTAATTATCCAAACAAAAGAAATTCAATTAAAAGTCATGCTACCAAAATCAATATTGATAAGTTACTGCCATTCTTATTGGATGAACAAGCAAAACAAGATTTTATTGAAATTGTTATGGATGTATTAGACAAAGTCATTTATATGGAAGATCAGGGATATTCAACTGCAAAAACTGTGCTATATCTATCATGCTTTGAACCAAAATTAATAGATTTCTTTCTCAATAAAATGAAAGAAGCTATCAATGATGTAACAGCTCTCTAATTCATCACAATTAAGAGTATACTGATATTTATGGCTATTCCAATTTTATAAGGAAAATGGTATTTATAATAGAAACTATAATTTTTAGTCCTTATTCCATTCATCATCTACAGGAATTCATGGATTTGACATACAAATTGTTTGAAGTCTAAGGAGTCAGCGAAAATATAGATTCATTAGAATTTTACTGTAAGATATTTATGAATGTTCCCATCTATACTCCAGAGGAATATATGGAACTATATGGGGAACACAATGAACTGTGTCGATATTTAAGTGAATTCGTCTCAGAAGTATTCAATTTAGTTATTAAAAACTTCAACTTGATTAAGTACAAAGACGTTGATTATGGATTTGTATTGCCAAATCTCATTAATATATTCTGGCCATACATAGCAAATTCATCACAAAGGATGTTAGACAGTATTGTTGATAGGTTAAAAGAACATCTAGAAAATCTTGAAATGCAAGATCTGAGTGCAATGGGGGATTTGATAGATTGCATTCTATATAGAGATTCCTCATTGTTGGAATATATCATTGATATTTGTATGGAAAAGTTACTCAAATAGAGATAGTCTCCTCTTAAAAAACATTACCTGAGTTTTATTGTCTAATTATCAAAGTATTCAGATTATATTCAGCAATTTGAACCTACTTCAGGTAACAAATAATCAAAACTCTTATGGTTGACACTTCTCGAGAAATCACTCACTTATGCTGGCAAAGCTACTTAAAAGCATGATATGAAGATACAAGCAATTGTGATTAACTACTTAATGGACGAAGAAGATGAGGTCTTTACTAAAGTAAGTGATATAATACATTCAGTAATAATAACAAATCAAATCATCAAATCCAATAATTTATCCTGGTAAAATAAAAGTTCTCAATTTTTTAAAAAAGATTTTGATAAAAAAAGTCTTTATCAACCTTAGGATCTTGAAGTTGAATGGATTTTACCTACTCGATAAGATTGGGAATATATATTTGATTGGAACAGGATGTTCATGTTTGGAGTAATTGAAGAATTTGAAAGGACCTATATGAAGGAATATGAATATTATGAAATGCCAAGAGACTTCCCGAAACTAATCGACTTAATGATTTTCAGAAACCCTCCCATGGATCCAAATCTGAAGTAAATTTGTTATCGTGTGTGGTTCCTTGTTTTCGGATGTTTTACTGGGTCATCACTATTCACACCATTTTAACCATAAGACCTCATAGAAGGTAGCAAAGGGCATTAAAAATTGGAAAAGATACAATAAGATTATTTAAAGAGAGTTTGTCCACCCGAATACTGGGACTTAAGACAGAGATTGGGTACATTTGCAATCAATTCCATTTGTTATGCTATAAATACTGGAGTCGCCCATGATAAGGACATTAATGACCTTTTGGTTACAATAGCTTCAGAATGTATAAGTTCATAAACCTTGAATTAAGAATTGCAATTAGGCAGAGAGTTTATGGAAGGGTGTAGATAATTGATGTAAGCTTCTTAATGTAAACTCTACTTTGAAAGTCGAATTCAGTGTGTGATTGATATCAACACATATCTCTATCAAAGACATGTTTTCATGTTACATTTACAAGGTATTCCAATTGAATACAATCAAATCTACAATTATATCATTGTTCTTTACTTGTTAGGCCATTCAGAATTTAGCAGTCCATAGTATTTGTTGCCTTATTCCGAACGAGCTACTTACACTTTAACTACTGGAGTTAGGAATAACTTCTTCGAATACTTGCTCGGGATCTTAGACTACAATAATAAAGACAGCAGATTAAGTAAAATCAATTAGTTAAGCGAAAGGAGTAAGGAATACAAATAGTTAATTGACTTATTGCAAGGCTTTAATTCAGCTGTCTAGCATATTTCTTCAGATATCGAAATGAGTATGTCGATTCAAAAATAATTGAACTAATTTATTAGTGTAATGGAATATGTTGATAATCAGAAATGCAAATATTTAATTATGGAATCATGTGTTCATCATTTGGCCATTCAATATGATGAAAGCACAGTGGTTATATCTAATGATTATAATGATAGATTGGAAATGATCAATAATAGCATCAGAGCCTTGCAAAGTCAGTATTTCTGGAAATGCAAGATCATTCATAGTTTATCCTTATTGAATAACATAAACATAATTAGATATGTCCCTGAAAATTGTATTACTGCTTATCGGGATTTATGCATCAATGACCATGTCACCTTGAATTAATTGGGAAGAGCAGGATTGTTCTACTTCCTAAGATTGGCCAAATAAATGATCTATAAGAAACAATAAGTCAGTAGCTCACAATATGAGTAACATCTCCCTTTTACTAAATTCGTCCAATATCGATATTTAACTTAGGAATAATTGGCAATTATAGAGAAATCATACTAATCTATTTTGGAATTGGATGACATTCTCAAAGCACAATAACCAATTTACAGATCTAAAATGCATGAGAAATATATGTTTACAAAAAATGATATCACTAAAGTAACAATCATAAATGACAATATCACTCCTTTCATAAAAGACTTAAGATAACTCTTTACTGACAAAAAATATATGCGAGAGTTTATGGAAAAGATATTGATAGATAAGGATGTAGCTCCAACATCAGAATTTGATATTACAGATGCTCCATCATAGGAAGTGTAATTTATGTCAGCACAAGGAATAACAAGATATGTCTAAATCTTTTTCACATATATTTATGGAAAGAATAGGAATAGACAATCTCCATTTTCTGCAACCTAATCCTTCTTCATGTCAGATTTCTATTTTAGATTATTTAAGAAGATGTTTTAAGTCTGTGGAATTGCTGCATTTTATTCAACCAAAGAAGTCATAGATGAATACATAGAATAGTATGATTAGAGAGAAAAACAAAGATTAGTAAGTTGCTACCTAACAGCCCTTCATAGATCATTATTAAATGTTGGTTCCTACATTTAGGATTCATTTATTAGAATTCTTCCTAACATCACTTAAGAAATATTCTATGATTATCATTTGGCATTCTTCTACATGTGCAGAGATTAAGATTGGCAATGGATTTCTCCAGTTTACGAGCAGATGTTGCAATGTTGTTAGAATCTTATTCCTCAAGGAGGATTCAAGGGTCTAAGATACATATAATTATTGAAAATTCTCATTCAATCATAAGGTCCACGAGTTATAACATTGCAAGATCAAATTCTATAGTAATTCAACTAAATTATTTTCACATACCCATCTAGTGTTTATGTTGAAGAATACACTTGCACACTTGCAACTGCATTGTTGTAAACCATTTTGATACCTATTCCAATCGATGCTCCTTATCAGGATGAACATCTAATTGCAACTACTGCAAACTTCTAAATTTGGTACAACAATGTTCTTTAGATGTTTTTCAAAACCTTTAATGAGTTCCTTTCTAATAATTCATAGAGAGATAAAGTCAAGTTCCATCAGGAATTATCGGCTAGAATTTTAGAGTTCATTGCAATTAGTAAATTTGATAATTATTCTTGGAAATTCATTGTTGAAGCCATGAAAATCATTTTCCAAAACAATCAAACAGATATTGATGCTTAGGAGATTCTAAGAAAGTACATCGAATGCGATTATGATGAAATCACAGAACTACTTGATATCGCAGAATAAATGACCAAAAATGATACTTGGAACATTAGAAAACGTGCCAACTTCTTCTTGAGGGATTGGTATTTCAAAGCCAAATTAGAAGGAAGCCTATTAAATGATATACCAAAATAATTACTCAATATGTTCCAAGACAGCAATCTACAGTTGTAATTCCAGGCTGTATCTTCACTTGCTGATTACCTGAAATTGTACACCAAGTAGGAATTAGAGGAATTATTCAGATCGGCATCGGAAAATAGAGTCTATATATTAATGAGTATGTTACTTTCACGACAAGATAGAAACTTCAATTGGACAGATCAGGCATTATCTGAGATATTTTAAGAATTGAAAAACAAAAGGTATTAAGTTATTTATATTAAGAATTTTGTAAGAGTTTGTGTCAGAATTTTGGAAGAGTAGACAAGACTGGTAGAGAGTATTCAAAGATGAAATCAGTGAAGAAAATGTTAGAAAATTATAGGAAATTGTAAATCCACATCCCTATTATGCATGATTGTTTATTAATATAAAAGATGTAATTAATGTAATATTATTTTATTCTGTATATTCTTAGATTTTATGTATCAATTATTTATAGTATTATCCCTTTTATAAGTTAAAATCTCCTCAAAATTTTATTAAATTCTAAGTAAACATTATTTTATTACAAGATACTAATAATATTATTTAAGAAATAATGATTTCAAGTATTTAACTTGTTATTATACTAAACTTAAGAATAAATCCAAATCATAAGTTAATGATGATGTTATATCTTAATTATTTCATAAAGATTTCATTAATTATACTAGAAAACCATGAGGTGCAAAAATTCTTCCAGTGCAATCTGCTGATGTGCTCAGAATAAACGGATAGAATGGATGCCATTTACATAAGACTACTCGATCCTCATGATCAGTAATTTAAGTGATCAATTTCTGTTGTTCCCAATCATACAGGGCTATAGTTGAATCAAAGGACACACTACAAATATATCTACCAGTGGGATCAAACTCAACACATCTGCAATCCATTGTGTGGTGCTTCAATGTTTTTACACATTTCTATTGTTGGATATTCCAAACTGAAACTACACCATCAGAATGTGCGAGTACTGCCAATCCTTAAGATGAGAATTATGGAGCCTTTTTAGAACCTTTGACTAAATTTTATAGATTGTAATTGGTAGTTGATTCTGACAGAGAAACATAATTAATTTCTGTTTGCATGGTCATAACTCCTTAGGCTCTACTTGCTCTTTAATCCCATATTCTTAAAGTTCTATCCATCCCGCAAGAAACCTAATATGATCCATCTCCTGCAGTCTATAAACTATTTCACTTTATATGTAATTTGGTTACCAATATATTGTTTATGTATGGCCTTCTAGATTTCTTATACATTTTTATGTTTCTACATCCCAAATCTTAATGACAGCATCCTATCCAGCTGACATCAATCTATTCTCATCACTAAAACAAACTGATCTAACCAAGCCTCTATGCCCAACCAAAACGAAATCCGTATCCTCTTCAACATTGTACAATTTAACAGTCTTATCATTACTTCCAGTTCCTATCAATCTTCCTGATCGGCTCCAATCAATGCAATATATAGATCCTTAATGGTGATTTTACTTTTCTAATTGCATCACAACTTGGCTTTCTTACAAAACTGATTTCATTGAAAAGATCCTAAGGCTCTTAGAATTGGTTCCGATTGCAAACATTTCTCCATCTGATGAAAATGCAGCTGCCCTAATTGGATGTGTGTCTGACAAGGTAGCAACTTAATCCATCTCATCAAATTTATAATTAAAGAGTTGAGACTATATACTACTACTATTGCTATGAGGAGGAGTAGCATTTAAAACACTTTCCTTCTTTATCAATGATTGATCATTCTCATTAATATCTGAAATGTGCAATTTTTCAATGATAATATTTTTATCGAAATCGGTGGGTAATTGAGAAGAACTAGACTATTACATTTGAATTTGAGACTTCTTTTTTGAGTAAACTAATATTCCATAAGCATTACTTTACATTTCGAATGTTTATTATTCTCTTCATCTTCTTCAACCTTCTCATACAATTATTGAAGTGTATTGCCATTGTATTTTTCTATCCTAAAAGTTTTGCCTAAGTTTTTCAACACTGATGCTATTCCTTCGAAACAATCAAGTCTTCCCTATAATTTAAAAATCGCTAATACCTTTTCAACACTCCAATCACTAAACTCTGGATGATCGCGTATACAAGACAACGTCAAAAAATAACACAGGTTTTTATATACCTCGGGAGATGCCAATTATTCAATTTATCGCAATAGCGTTATAAGTATTTCTACATCTGGTTTTGCATTTATCAATTCAAAATATTATTGTTTCTTCAACTCCAACAACACAAACGAAAATTGATCATTCAGTCTTGTCTTCAAAGGCTAGAGGTATTGTTCTGCCCCAATAAAGTTACCATCTAAAATTTGCTATCTAAGGAATTATAATTCTCTAGTGTAGGTGTCTATTGAAATCTATTCATAGAGTAATTATTTTCTTTTTACTTAAGTTTCTAGTTCCAAGTGCAAAAGACTCTTAAACAATTTTTGATCCCTCAAAAACACCAAGACCATCTACAGAATTTGTTAAGTTTATGGCATTTTCAAGTTTTTAAGATTAAATTAATTATAATTTTTTTGTTAATGAAATGTAATCAATTTATCTAAATGAACCAAACAAGATCGAGTCTATTCTTTGTAGATTAATACTATTAGATTTCAAGAATAATTCGACAAGATTTAAATGGTAGTAGGCTAAATAATGAAATATATTTTTAGTACAATGAAATTGTTTGTGTTCCTTAAAAGGGTTTTAGTTTAATATGATAATTGAAATACTTGTGAAACTGTCAAATGCAATTTGGAAGTATAATAAAGAATTGAGGGAATAATACATCTTTGAAAAATTTCTCAATTAAGATAAGTCTATTAATTATGATTGTTAAATAATTCAAATATGAGAACAAAAAGAATTAATGAAAATCACTTTCAATAACATGAACAATAAAGCTTCATCCCAACCATTTTAAAAATTCTCTGGTTCTTTCTTGTTTATCCTATTAATATTTTTCTGACTTTTTCTCAAAAAACTACAATGTACCTTAATAATTATGTGTCAATATTTGACAGTCAAATAATACATCCAAAAATATTAAATAATTTAAATATCTTGCTTTTCTAAATCGTAACTCTAATTCTTATTTTACATCTTATATACTAATAGTAAAATTAACATATATTAAATGAAAGAAGAAAATCATTTTGATTGGCCAGACCCTACAAGAAATGACCTAATGTACTTATCATCCATCAGTATGATCTAAACATAAATATCAAGGGAATTAGAATAAATTACGATCCATCTCTTAGGACTATAAATATACAACTAACTAACCAAAAAAAACATATTATAACAAAGAAACCTATATCAATAAAGTTGATGATATACCTACCAAGAATAACAAATTTGAAACCGTCAGAGAAAGCCTTTATATCGATGATATTGCTGTATTTTATTAAATTCAAATTTAGGGAACTAGACCATAAATTGCTAAGTTTAAAACCAATAGAGAAACAAACCCAGTCGAACCCATATACAAAATACCTACCTATTAAGGAGCTGATGTTCCTTAGCCAAACAAATTTATTAGAGACACATTAAATATATCAGATATTCAAGGAACTGTTCCAAAAATTAAGATATATAATCCAAGAAATGTAGACCCCTATACTTTTATTGACGGCTCCAAACCTAAATAATTAAGACATATTGTTAGATCATAAGATGAATAAGACATAAAGAGAACCTCAAATAGACAAGTTAACCCTCTCTAACCTTTTTACAAATGGGGAGAGGAGATAGTAGGACCTGTAGATGGATCACAGCCTTACGATCATTGCAAAGACAGAAATAAATTGAAAAGCCTTTCATTATACACTAAGGATATCACAGGAGCTTAATCGGACACTGTAAAGAAATTCCCGAAAGAGTCTTAGAAGATTACAAATAACACCTAAGACATATATAGAGCATAGGCTGATACTATACAAAGAGGAATGCAAACAAAGAGGCAAACTAATCCGTTGCAACCTGCTTACTAATTATTAGGCTAAAGTGAACTATACAATATGCAATTCAAATGAATATTAATTATTGAAGGAAATTTTATAATGATTTTATATATATATATTAATGATCATCTTTATTATTGACCCATTAAATTTGCTTGAGATGGGTAGGATGACACGGGCAACTGATAGGAGTAGTTGTTAATATTTTGAAAATTACCCAACAAGTTTTAATTAAGAAAGGATCTTTATTAATAAACTCCACTCTAAATTTGAGGATATTCATTTGATTGCATCATGACAATAGATCGAAATAGTTTTGGGTCATAATAATAGGAGCCTAGACTATTTTGATTAGATAGGTTATTTTCTTAAAATGTGCTTTGTTAACTAATTTCTGATCTATTTAGATAAAAATGTAATTGTTCAGGTGATACAAAAAATATTTAATTTTTTTCTTTGTTTATTAAACATGGTTGGAGAGTGCTCATTTCAACTTCTGTCAGTTGGCACTCCTTGATTTGCAAATTGATTTTATCTTATTGATTAAGACTTGGTTGCGAGGCTCTTAAATTTCTTTTTAAAGGTAGATTTGATTCTACTTTTACTTTTTTAACAATGTCTAGATGTTCCTCCTTGATAATGTCTTTCTATTCATGTTCTCGGAGGTTTTCGCTTTATTGGATTCTCCACTCTATTTTTTTTATGATTGTATGAATGAGTTTGATTTCCTCGTGATTCAACTCTTCTGCGGATGGAAAATTAGAGATCTTTGATTCTTCTGATTCGCTTTCCTCTTCATCTTTTTTCCTTCTATAATAACTATAGCCTACCCTGCTTTTTGACTTCGTTCCTTCCTTAAGAGACAATTGAATCTATTTTTGACACTATTCTCACTTCTTGGTATTTTTAGTTTTTTTGAAATCAAGGCCCATTTTTTTCCATTTTAAATTGATAACTAGAGCAAATCTAAATCTTCATTCAATTGCCAAGGGTTTCTTAGGAGATATTTACATAATTGTTATACCGATTGATAAACGGGTTAAGATGGTTGTTCCATCGTTCTCTGCACTATTTGCCATTTCTATGCACATTCGATTCACTAATTTTGTTTAGAGTGGTGGCAATCTGGCTCCATTTATTTCCTTTGTTCTAATTTTAGTAGTCATATATTATGGACCTTAAAAGGTCGTCTTCAGGTAAAGTCCAAGGAGCTTGTTACAAAGGGAGCTTAAGCATTTGTAGCCACTTCTATTTGCATTTAAAGGCATCCCTCCTTGGCATCATGCTGGCAATGGAATTCCAATCATCGTCACTCTTAATATAGGGTTGAATTGATATACGATGGATTTAATGTCTCTTCTATTTAGGGCAACCCATTTGCCAACCAACCATATGAGCACCTTTTTGTCATCATCTGTCCAGTTCTTTTTTAGTTTATTTTACTGAGACTGTAAATTCAACTTGTTATTTTGTTGAATGGTGTGGACTTCTTAATTGTCAGGAAAAGTATCCACTCCAAGGTTATATAATTCTCTCATATAATTAAATCTAACATTGGTAATGTCCTTGGTTTTAGCATAGAAGTGGAGAAAATTTTGATGAAAATCTTCAACAAGCAGATTTTCAGATGATTTCATATATTTTTTATATTTTAAGTTTCCTTATTAATTTAAAAAAAATCTAGGCTTCCCAATAAAATAAATTAATTAAATGAATTTAACTACGAGATTTGTGGACTCTTTTAGTCTCACAGATGATCTGCTTACTTAAATCATATAAGATAAATAGACAATCAGTTTATCCTTGAGACAATTAAGCAAATTGCATCATTTGCAGAAGATGTTAGAAGAGTTTTAATTTCTCAATATTGTATACAGTGATTAAAGTAGAGTGAGGTACATAACAATTCTTATATTAGGAAGATGATGTTAACACGAACAAAATCTAATCTGAATTTACAATAATAACTCTGTCATCAAATAGATAAGAAAATTGAAGATTTCATGGTATAAATTCGTAAAATTTCTTAGAACTTTTTCAAGAAATTAGACTCCATCCTTTTTTATACTATGAATATGCAACTCATGTCCGAGAACTGTTTAGAATTCTTATAGCAAATTGCAGATTTAATTTTGGGCAGTCCTGCATTTACAGTTATTTATGAGATTAACAAGAAAGTGAATGGAATGTCAACTCATATAAAAGATATTGAGAATGCCTATTAGAAATTATTAAAATTCAAGGAGAGCACAAATGTATAAGGGAGTGAACTCGATAATCTCTTTGGCACAAATGAATTATATGTGTACAAAAACAAGTATTCATACTTGATTTACGATGTGAAGGATGTACCATTCAAGGCATTCCCAGATTATAGATTGATATTGGATCAGTTTATTTCAATTGCTTATGATTTTCAAAAAGAAATATATGAGTGAGATTTATTTCTATATCATCTAGCAAAGAAAATTTAGTGAGCATCATAAGAGGGATTAAGTCAAGGTTCATTAAGAATTCAACGAGGATTTGCTAAGAAGTCATTCGATAATAAGTTACTGAAGTATTATCTAGTTAATGGTATGAGTGTTGTAATTATCATACAGTTGGATTGAAATGCCAGACTAAATATAATACATGAATGATTTGATCATAGATCAACATGGATATGTTGTGTTGCCTGTAAAATTGGATAAATAAATCAAATACTACATAAAGATAGAATCTCCAAACATAGATATGATTACGTTCAGTGATTATGTAAGATTATCTAAAAGGAATTCTAGATTCAATAATTATGGTAGAGACTGACTTACTAATTGAAGGATTTGAAGAATGAGGAGTTCTTAAAACAAATGCTTGAAGTGAATTCACCAAATAAGCTATACATTCAATTGGATGGAGATGGAAACATCAGATATTAGAGTTGCTGTATACCTGATTCTTGGTATTTCATGTTGATCAAGGGAGGTTCATTGGAAGATCTCTAGTTAGAGTAAGTGAATAAGCAGAGTCTCATACAAAAAATGTAGGAATTGAAGTCTTCAGTCAAAGGAGCTGTTAGTGTTTGCTAGATTTGTTTTGGTGATAAAGCAGTAGATGTTGATCTATTTGCCAAAAGAAATGAAGAAGATGAGATTACTGACTATTACATAGTGTTTAATGCACCAAAAAAGTATCTAATTTATTCTCTATCTAAGAAAATTTGAGGATGATCATCGCATATCGTCTTAAATGTCTAGCGAAAGCAAACTGCAAGAATTGAGTAAGGCAGCTTTAATCAATATTAAAATGGAAAAGCTATCTAAAGCATGCAATGTGATGAGGGATTATCTCAAGGTTAATTTGACTGATGAGGAAATCATTGATTTACTGAAAGAGAAAGACATTCTCAAAGAAGTATATAACCAATAATCCATCACTGATGATATCAGGTCATCTTATGTGATGGAATATTATAAGGCTGAGTCATCTAAAGTAATGAGAGATCCAGTATAGGGAAGCCAACAATATATAATTGAGTCAGAACTTACAAACATAAAAAGTATTAAGTCATTTCAATTAGAATTCGACCTATATACTCTAGATGCCAATGATATTTCTAACCTTAGTGATTATTCATTTGACATCACTGTTGTTCAGGATAAAAATGAATAGCTACGATATACTTGGGCACTATTTCATTTGTGTAATTTCATAGATCTTTATCAAATCAACAAAGAAGTATTCTATTAATTCACTGTGATTGTCCAAGAAAAATATAGTTATCGACAGAACCCATTTCATAACTTTGATCATGGATTCACTGTTGCACATGCTTGTTATTACATCATAAAGAGTAAAAGCATGAATCAATATTTTGATAAATTCATTTAATTTACTGCCTTACTATCTGCTCTATGTCATGATATTGATCATACAGGACGTAACAATCATTTCGAGAGTTAAAAATTATCCAAATTAGCATTAAGATATAATGATGAATCTGTGCTAGAAAATCATCATGCTTCTGTTATGTTTAAGATTCTTTAAAAAGAAAAATATAATATTTTGAGTTCTCTTAGTTAGGATCAATTTTCAATCTTTAGAAAATATGCCATTGCCAATATCTTGGGGACAGATATGAAGAAACATTTTGAAATCGTTAAGCTATTGGAACTCAAATTATCCAAGTTACCAGATGAACCATTTATATAAAAGGAAGAAGATAAAAAGTTCTTATCTAGTGCTATTATTCATACTTGTGACTTGACGATGTAATCTAAAACTTTCAAAATGGCTTAGAAATGGTCTAATCGTATAGCAACTGAATTTTCAGATTAAGTTGCTGAAGAGAAGCAATTATCATTACCTATTACTCAACATTTCTTACCATTAGGAACTCCAAATTTCAATTAATTATTAGCCAAATAAGAAATTTCATTCATCAAGGTAAATTTCATTAAAATTTTAAAAGTTCATTGTTAAACCTGCTTATGATCTAACAGCATAAGTCTTATAAACGGGTTTAGAAGTGCCATTAAAGAATTTAGAAGACAATCTTAAAGAATGGGAAAATTAGAAATGATAAAAATGTATCAGTTGTTGTAGTAACGATAATATTTTTTATCCTTATAATAATATTAATTTATATTTAAATGCAAGGTGTAACTACTTAAAATGGTTCAGATGAAGAGACTGAATTTATTTTTGACTCCAACACTATCCAACTCAAGGAAACAAGAAATAAAATTTCTAAAGCAAATGTAAATCATTCGTTATTAACAATTCTGTAGGAAGAGAATAAGTAATTAAATGAGTAAAATAAAGAATTGATCATTTAGTTGAACCGTTAAAATGAGCTCCTTGAATTAAAACACAAATAAAACTAATAATTGTAAGCTGAAGGTAAGTATGATTGTTTAAATGATTAGCAAATAAATTTAAAGAATAAATGGATGATAGAGAATTCAAATTATTATAGTCGATGAAAGAAAAACAACAATTATAAAACGAGCTAATTGCCATGCATGAAATTTTGGATCAAACAACCCAAAGAAATGATTAAATCAATTCTGAAGTCTTTGCACTAAAATTAACTCTGGAGCAAATCTAATGTAAATACCATTTGTAATGTAGAAACTGTAACCATGTGCAAAGAAGAAACGACTTAAGGGTTGTAAAGAGAATTAAAATTGAAAGAAACTATTGATTAACAAAACAGGAATTTAAAGTTGTAAGAGGAATCACTTAGAAAAATTACTAATGATTGTAATAAGAAAGATATCTAGTTCAAATTTGAAATGCAAAACAAAGAAAGTGTTCTTTAGGAATTGAGGAATTAATTATAATAGCAATAATAATAGAATAATGAAATCATTAATGAATTAATAGAATAAAAGAATTAAAACATTTAAAATTCTGTTTATGGCAAAGATTATAAACCTGAATTAACTAATATCACCAAAGAAAATGAAGAACTAAAAAATAAATTCAAGGGGTTGACTTTTTAATTGAATATTTACAAAGAAAAGGAATAATCATAAATAAAAGAAATCACTAATCTCAGATAGATGCAATCTAACTTATCAACTGAAATAGAAAGGTTATTAAATAAGATAAACGAATAAAAATTATAATTATTGAATCTTTAATTAGAAAGTTAGAATGTTTTATAAGAAAAGGATAAGAATATTCATTAATTAATGAATTAATTGTCACTTTTAAAAAATTAAGATTAAAAGATAAATTTACATAAGAGTATCTTTCATAATGGTGATGAGAAATTATTGAAAGATATTCAACTTAAAAATGATCAAATAGCCATGTTGTAAAATGAAAATAACTAATTAGTGAAATTAATTGAGTCTTTAAAGAATCAATAAAGTAATTTTTCTGTATACTATTGTAGTTGATAATTAAGGAAATGAAAAAATAAAGATTAAACAATTAGAATCAGAGCTTAAGAATTTGCAATCTTTCATTTATGATAGTCCTCTTGTAGTGTTGTTTAATTTATTAGAAGATCGATTATCAAAATAATAACAAAAAAGCTTTGAAAACAAAAATAAAATAAAAGAGTTTTGGGCAACACAATTAAAGCAATGGACTGAGGGATTTGAAGAATTAAAATAAGCATTTTCTGGTTTAAAGATCGTTTTCAAATACGATCTAAAGTATGCTAATCAACCATCGCAATAATGATTGATATAATATTTTATATAAATCGATATGAAATAGAAAATTGATATTTCTAAGTACACATGTTATTAGTATTCACCCTTATTGCACTTAATGTAATTAAGTCTTAATCCAAGTACGCATGTATATTTGAGTTTATATTCTAGACATAGAAATAATTATTTAAAATGAATTTCACTTTCTTTTAAATTTAAAATTTTTATGACGCTATGTTTAAGGGAAAACAATTCTTATAATGAAAAGAGTGAATGCACTTAACTTGTAAATCCTATTATTATTAAAATTACTGTCTAAGAATAAACTTAACCTGCAGTCCTCCATAATTTATTTATCCCAAAACAAATTTAAATTCATAAGCCAAAATAATTTTATAATAGAAAACACTTTCTCAGTTTAAATCATTTATATAATGCCAATAATTTTCTCCCCCCATATCGAAATTAATTTGACAATATATCAATAACTAGAATTTACTGATCAAGTTTACTTCATGTGTTTGATAATTATAACTTTTAATACAAATTTTCATTTATTTAAAATAGAATTTATTAATTTCACTTAATTTTCATTCGTAAATGAAATCAATTCGAGGAATTAATTGATATTTGATTTTAATATTTTTCCTTTCAAAGCTCTTAATAGTTCAAGGATTATTTTAAATTAGTATTCTTAATATTCTTGTACTAACATTCTATCCCATAACTCTATTACTAATTGGATATCTAAGTCTGATGCAAACAGAGTGATAAACCATCTAACAAAATTATGGGATAAAATAATCCCTAATTCATTTACATGATCATAAATTTAGGGTTCTTATTTCTTTATCAATTCATCGAAGCTCTTCATTGTGGCCTTTAACCCTTTTTGATGATCTGATTACAGCAACAAATGTTATTATTTTTCCATTAATAGTTCAAAACAGTAATAACAATCTGCTTCTTTTTAAATAACATTAACTATTGGAGCTAGTAAATAATTCATCCCTGACTAAATAAATTATGAAATAAATTATTACTATATATCCAATATTTGGATGCAATCTGCAATAAATATACAAAATTCGTTTCTATACATCTAAATAAGTTGTGGGTTATGCATCCTTTTAGTTAGATTTGAATGTATAATGATTTGTATAAAATAATTATTCGATATTAAAATTACAAGGGTTTTTTAAAAATTCATATTTTGACAAAATCCGACTAATAATTGCTGAATAAATTACATATTATCTATTTCTATCATTACGTAATCTTTTTCATTTTGTTGATATTATTCAATATTCATATACTATGAAATTGTTTTACGCTTTTATTCTTCAAACTATTATTCAGTTTATGCTGAATTCTCCAAAGAATATTTGCACAGTTATTGAAAGATAAGTTGCTCATTAGACTTTGTGATATCGATTACAAATTAGCTATATTTCTTTTCCATCTTATCTAAGAATTAATCAATTCCATCAGATGGTAAGTAACCTAAAACCATCATCCATTTAATAGCTCTCTCAGAATAATTATGCATTTATTAAATTATTTAATTAATAAAAGTACTTGGATTTTATATTAAATGATATGAAGAATCTTGAGTAATAGTTTTTAACTTTCAAATTCGAATTAATATGTTTTCACTTAAACTGTATTTCTGAAATAATTTAAGATTTCAATACTGTGAAGAGTATAAATATCAATCGACATTCCAAAGAATCCTGCTTTAATCTATTTATAATTAATAAATAGGAATTCTTATTTTAAAGTTAATATTCAATTAATAAACAATAGATTCAAGTTTATTTACAAATATGTTATTTCTTGCATGAATAATGAAAGAAAATATCATGTAAACTAAATAATCATTATTACATTGAGGAATTCAATTTAGAAAAATTATTATAAAGAAATTCAATAAGATAATCAGTTGAGTATAAATTAATTATTTCAAATGTCTTCTACTATTTCACCAAATCTACACTTATATTCAGGAGAACAAGTTTCTATTTCAATACATCTAGGTCTTACTTGAAAGTATCTCCATATTGGCTTCGATGTGTTTCTTCTAAAGGCTTTTGAAGGCAATCATTCCCAAATTTTTTTGATCTTCGGTTTCCAATTTTTATGCCTAATCATCAAAAGATGATTTCATTGTTTTCTTCTGAGATGGTGCACAACCCATTTTACTATATTGATTATTATATTATATATATGAATTTAAGATTTTTGCTGTGATTAAATATCTTGGTCAAAATAGACAGACGTCATTTTAATTATGCATTATAAACTTATTTGATTCGATAAATCATTGTTATAATTTGAGTTCTATGTCATTTCTAGACGTTCATCTCGCTGAAATATTAATAATATATACACAATTCTGATCCTTTAATTTCTATATATTGAGGATACCTTCTTCTCAATTTCGACAGTCTCAGGTCTATCTTTCGGATTTTATTTCAAACATTATACAATAATTTCTATAAGTTTCTTGTCATATTCAAGTTTATTTTTAATCAATATATTGTTAATGTAATCAGGATTAAATTTCTTTTCAATTTCCTCTGCATCTAAAAAGCAAAAAGAAAATAAAGGGGTTCCTTTATTTAATAATAATAAAGCGACTAATCCAAATTAATATATATCAGATTTCATCGTGATGTCTTACATTCCCTCTGGAGCATGAAATTGGTATGAGCTACTTTATTGAGTACCTAAATTAGTCAAACTTTCCTCTTTAGCCTTCCCTTAATCTCCGATGTAAAAGTGTGCATAAACTAAGTTTTCATTATCAATATAAATTGATTGTGGTGAGATATTTCTATGCATAATACCTGCTTTATGAAATATCGAAATTCCTAAAAGATATGATGAATTATTAACCTTTACTCAACTCATTAATGGCTCTANTTAAATGATATGAAGAATCTTGAGTAATAGTTTTTAACTTTCAAATTCGAATTAATATGTTTTCACTTAAACTGTATTTCTGAAATAATTTAAGATTTCAATACTGTGAAGAGTATAAATATCAATCGACATTCCAAAGAATCCTGCTTTAATCTATTTATAATTAATAAATAGGAATTCTTATTTTAAAGTTAATATTCAATTAATAAACAATAGATTCAAGTTTATTTACAAATATGTTATTTCTTGCATGAATAATGAAAGAAAATATCATGTAAACTAAATAATCATTATTACATTGAGGAATTCAATTTAGAAAAATTATTATAAAGAAATTCAATAAGATAATCAGTTGAGTATAAATTAATTATTTCAAATGTCTTCTACTATTTCACCAAATCTACACTTATATTCAGGAGAACAAGTTTCTATTTCAATACATCTAGGTCTTACTTGAAAGTATCTCCATATTGGCTTCGATGTGTTTCTTCTAAAGGCTTTTGAAGGCAATCATTCCCAAATTTTTTTGATCTTCGGTTTCCAATTTTTATGCCTAATCATCAAAAGATGATTTCATTGTTTTCTTCTGAGATGGTGCACAACCCATTTTACTATATTGATTATTATATTATATATATGAATTTAAGATTTTTGCTGTGATTAAATATCTTGGTCAAAATAGACAGACGTCATTTTAATTATGCATTATAAACTTATTTGATTCGATAAATCATTGTTATAATTTGAGTTCTATGTCATTTCTAGACGTTCATCTCGCTGAAATATTAATAATATATACACAATTCTGATCCTTTAATTTCTATATATTGAGGATACCTTCTTCTCAATTTCGACAGTCTCAGGTCTATCTTTCGGATTTTATTTCAAACATTATACAATAATTTCTATAAGTTTCTTGTCATATTCAAGTTTATTTTTAATCAATATATTGTTAATGTAATCAGGATTAAATTTCTTTTCAATTTCCTCTGCATCTAAAAAGCAAAAAGAAAATAAAGGGGTTCCTTTATTTAATAATAATAAAGCGACTAATCCAAATTAATATATATCAGATTTCATCGTGATGTCTTACATTCCCTCTGGAGCATGAAATTGGTATGAGCTACTTTATTGAGTACCTAAATTAGTCAAACTTTCCTCTTTAGCCTTCCCTTAATCTCCGATGTAAAAGTGTGCATAAACTAAGTTTTCATTATCAATATAAATTGATTGTGGTGAGATATTTCTATGCATAATACCTGCTTTATGAAATATCGAAATTCCTAAAAGATATGATGAATTATTAACCTTTACTCAACTCATTAATGGCTCTATAGGCTATTTTTCGATATGCGATGTTATCAATGTTTTTAGCCTTATTTTGTTCTGCAGCCTCAGCCAAAGTCATAAAAAATTTTTTTTGGAAAAAAAAAGTTTAACTAAATAATCTCAAGTAAGAGAAGTTAATTAGAATATTGGATGTTTTAGACAACTTCTCAGTCACAAAAATTTCTCTATTTTAATATTCTAATTATTAATTTCTATTAGGTTTAGATAGATCATAACTTCTATATAATATACTCTTCGATTCAATACCAAAAACAGTTTCAAATACCTTTGGGGTGTTGAATTCCACTGTGTAAATATCTTCCATGCCATATGAAGATGAAATTTGCATAATTTTAAAAAATAAATTTAAACCAAAATGATTTTATTAGTTTATTCTCAATCCTTTAACAAATGAAAGCAAATAGTTTATAATTTTGTCAAAATTATCCATGTTGATATCTAGAATTTATATTAGCTATGGAACGTATTTACGTACGAAACTTTTAAAAATATCAATATTAGGAATATGTAATTTAAAGTGTGAATCTTCTAAATCAAATAGCTATATAAAAACACAATCTTCTATTAAATATAATTGTGAAATGGATGACAGATTCCATGTAATTTTTTTCTAGCTTAGTTCATTTAATGCTAAATTATAGATAAATTTCTTACTTATTGCCAACTAGAGAAGGATAAATTCGATATTTTATTTATTCAATTAATTTTCTGACAAACGATATGATCTCCAATCCTTCATTATAATTAGAATTTAATTCTAATGAGTTATGATTTCATGTGGTTAGAGAATGTTAAAAAGTTTTAGATTAAGCATAGCCTTGGCATGTTATTCATCTTTGAAAAATAATAAATTTGTTTCTCTCATCAAATAATATGGCTCATTTTATTAATCCTGTTTTTTCTCGATTTAGTGTATTTTTATGGAGGAATTTCCTTCATAAAATTCCTTAAGATGATTGTAATTATAGTTAAACTCTTCATTATTCATTATTGTTTAATAGAGTATTTTTATATTAAAATAAATATTAAGATTGGATATTTATCATCCTACATTTCTAATAATTTTAGTTCTAAAATTTTATTGCGACTTTGTTCCTGGTGTTCTTGTAATTGAAGTAAAAGTTGTGGCGTAAGTCCTGGTAAACTGATTATCATCTTCATTTTCTTCTGGAATTTCTATGCCCTAACTATTTAATTCTCTCTTTTTCTCTCTATATTCTTTGTTCATGCAATCTAATTATGATTTCAGTTCCTATTTTTTCTCTCTCAATTCCTTGCATTACTTTATGAGGTGTTTGTTTTAATCTTAAATGGTATCATATGCTACTTCTCTTTGGCCAAGTTGATATTTCACTGAAGCCTCAACTTCAGAGAGACTTTATTGCAAATATTACTTCTGACTTGATAATGCTTTATAAATAGCGTTTTGTTAACTTTGATCAATCTGTTACTATAGAGGATCCTTTTACATATCCTTTAAGGTTTCCTAAAACACAGGATTTTTAATAGTGATTGCCTTACTATTCTCTTTCTACACCATATGGTACAATTCCTCTAATTTCTCTGGCCAATCTCCAGTGTCGCTATTAATTAATGTTTGTATAGAAGACTTAAAGTTGTCCATATTTCTTTTGGATAAAGATAAAACAGTTAAGGCAGACTTTAGTTGGTTTTTAAATATATTTAGATCTGTAATTAATTTTCTTTCTTCTTCAATTCTAGATTGCTTTAATCCTGATTCTTCTATCAATTCATTATAAAGATTCTTAACGTGTTTCTATATGAATTATTATCAATAATTACTTCCATATTTTTTAGATGATCCATCAATGGCTCTCTTTCATCCTTTAGAGTGTTAACTCTATAATCATATACTTTTTAGAAATTTTGCAGATGAACATTTTTCATTCTAAAATCTTTAATTTGCTATTCCCTTTAATTTATAAGTTTCTCTTTCTCTCTTAAATCTGCCAACATCATTTTATGTTTTTCTTCATACCCTTTCAATTCTTAACGCAGACTCTACAACGATTCCTCGGTTTCTAGTCTATTGTATGAAATAATTACCTTTTTTTAAATTATGCAAGATTTCTTTTCTATTTTAATATCTCACAATTTCTTTTTTAAATCGAGAGATGCTAGATCTTAATATTTCTGTTTGAGTGTTAAATTCTTCTAATTTTGCTTTTAAGGACTGCTATGATTCTTTGTAAAAAGTTTCATAATCTTTCTCACTTTACTGCAAAACTTCTTTAAATTTTCGTTAATCCAATTTCATATTGGACATAGCTTAACTGAACCTATTGAATAAATCTTAATATTTTTAGCAGTATTCGTCATCAACCTAAGAAATTGATTACTAATATTCTTAATTCACTAATCGTTGTTCCTCATCTTGCTGTTTGATGATATTTTGTAATTTTTCATTCAATTTGTCTCTTATATCATAAATCTACAATAGTTTCTTTGAATTTTATTCATTCATTTCTTCAATTGTTTTTTTAGAAATTGTTATTAAATTCTTTTTATCTTCTTTAATCTTATTGTTTTTGGCATCTGATTATTAAATTGTTTGAGATAATTAATCTTAAACTTTTTGAATTTCCTTAGTATGCTCGTCACGTATTTTCTTCAGTTTGTAGTCATTATTATTCAGCTAAACTTCCTTAGCGTCATCAATGTCGCTCTTAAAATTTTACAATCTATATTCTAATTCTTTCAGCTGCTCCTGCCTTATTTCCTAAGCAGTAGTTGAGCATAAACATAAACTATTAAGTGCAAATGTATTAGTAATCTTATTTTCAATATCACCTCTAGTTATCAGATCCAATTATGTTATCTAATATTACTTAAATATTGTTTACTTCTTCTCCATTAATGAACTGCTTGATTTTACTAAAAAAAATACTACCATCTATTGATGAACTTATTAAATAACTATTATCAGGAGACACTTTAATGGCTGTCACTGCCAATTAATGAACAGGAATTTCAATTGATTCCATCATCTTAGGGTTGAAATGGTAAAATGGATAGGAGTATACTCTAATTGATCCTTACGAAGTTCCAAAAAAGATTGCATTGTATCTATGACTAATGCATATGGCACTAAATTAAGTAGGAGATGTATCCACTTCTAGAACCATGTTCTGTCCCTTCTCATGATAAACTTTTAATTTCTAGTCTGAAACTCCAATAACAAGATCATATTCAAAGTCATAACATAAACTTTGATATTTGTTCTACTTTTAAGCATGTTCTAAGATTCTTTCTCCTGAAAGCAAATTCCAAACATATAAAATTCCAAATTGACATTAGGAAATTAACAAATTATCCTTAGATATATTTAATAATTTTTAATACTCTATCGATAAATAGTAAATCCTTTAGATTTGTTTGATGATTAGGTAAGACATTTATCATTTTATATGTTAGAGGATTATATAATTGAATTTGATTACCATTAGCGGCAGCTAAGATATGTCCTCCTTCACTATATGTGAGAGCATTACAAACTTTTGTAGTTTCATTGTGGACTAATTTAAGATCATCATCGAGTATAAAATAGAATCGAAGACTAGAGAATAAATATTATATTTCATTACCCATCTTTAAATCCGATTGCACATTAATAGCTTAATGGATGTATAGCCACAGATAATGGAGTTTCATGAAATTAATGAGAGAACATTTCTTTAAAGTCATTTGAATAATCCCAAAATTTGATATTCTTATCATCACACACTGATGCTATTATAGATCTCATAGGAGTTGTGGTGATATTGAAAATTGTACCTTTGTGAACACCCTTCTCAAATAATGGTTCAAATGGATCTTTTTGAACTGATTTCAGAGCTTCAACTATGGCTAAATTAAATGTAAATAATTCTAATTTTCCCTGATAATTTTCCAAGATTTACTCACATGAAACGATATTATTTAAAACTTACTATGATCCTAAGGCTACTTGATATGCAGAACGATTAAAGTAAATTACTGTTAATGCTGCATACATCTCATCTGTAGCCAAGTGAATTTAATGAATTCCGTATATATGTTCATCCTTTATAAAGTAAGTGCCGACTAAATTTAAGATATATTGCTCTTGTTCTGAACTATCCTATTCAATTTCATAAACTTATAATGCAGGTTTTCCAATTAAACCAATTATGAATCCTTTATTGGTCTTTGCTATAGTAGAGATTCGAACATTTACTAATTTTTCTTATTCAGTTGGCTTATTTTTATCCTTATTTATTTATTCTATAAATTATTCGATGATGATGATTACATAATAAATGATTTGATTCTTTTTATTGAGTTTGCAGTTCGAATTTTCCTACTTTCTTATCTCCTTTAATCATAATGAGATTATTTCTGCTAGTTGCCACAATTGTATATTTCTTTTCAGAATTATAACATACTCCTACTATGTTTTCATCTTATTATAACTCTAAGACACTAATCAAACTATTCTATATTTCTAAACCACTGATGTCAGCTTGATATTTGTAAGATGTAAGAAATTATGGCCCAATCAGAAAAAATTCAAAATCGCTAATGGATTCTAACATATTTATTTTTTATTTGATTAGAGTATAAGAAAGTGAAACTTCTTTACTAACTGCAAATAAACTCATTCCATAACCATCCTCTTAAGTTGACAATGAGATGAGATGCTATTTATTATTCATCTTGGTACCTTTCCATCATTTATAAATAGAATTTCATGAATATTACTATTAGGTAATAAATGAGAGTGAACACATTAGTAGAATCGCTTCTTTTTTCTATTGTAAACTTTGACAGTAGGAAGTATCTTGCTTGTTGATTTGAATGCTATGGCAATGAACAATTTTTGTCCATGTGAAACATGAAAACTCAATGCTTAGACTACTTCATCTTCAGCGCTCTTCATTATGTATGTCTATCTCTTTCTAATAATGTCATAGAGCACTATATGTTTCCCGCTTATAAACATAAGAGTGTCATCATTCACAAACATACAGTTCTTTCTTATTGGATTTTACAAGCATCCAAATGAAGCTTCTAATGTTATTGATACTCCATTTATTATCTAATGTGATGATTTTGATAACATTTGCTGTTTTATTACTTTTTTTCCATTTAGAAACCACTAGTCTTCCATATCAATTTTAGGTTAGTTATATATAAAATTATTAATTCAATAAAATCCTTATTTCACATCTTTAGAGGCATCATTTATTAGATCCCTCATAAAATGTGGAGATTCTTAGGATTAAATAGAAATAAAATATATCAAAATGAACTCAAACTTCAAAAATATTATTAAAAATATTTTTTAGAAGAATTCTTTAATCATTCTCCATTCCTAATCTTGAACCAATGGATTATTCTAAGAACTCAATTTCTTTATCTTCAAATATAATTTAAAAGAGAGAATCTATCTTATTTGACAATTAGCTAATTTTTTTGAAAGAGTAATAAATTCTGAGTTATGAAAAAATCCATTTCAAGAACTCCTCATCTTAAACACTAGAGATATAATTAGTTTTTTCAAAATCAATCTTTATTATTGATTATTACTTCAACTTTTTATCAGTTAATGTCATTTGACTGAATAATGCTTCTAATTCTGTGATTTCTTTTATATTTTAATGATCTTCTTTTGATTTCTGCTTTTTCTTATCTCTTTTGAACTTAGTCTTTTGTGTGTCCTCATTTTAATTTAGTTTATCAATTACCCAACTCTCAAATAATGTTTAGTTCATAAACAATAATAAAAATTTAATAAATTATTGTAAATAGGATAAGTATAATTATCTTAATTTGCCAGCTCAAAATATGTTATTTTTTTAATTTAACAAATCATTTTTATATATTTCATTGATTAGAACTATCTAATTGGTCTTTTAATTTTAAAAATAATTAAGTTTAACGAAAATATCAGATAATTTGGTATTAAAAAGAAGCCAAAGTTATCTAGGACATTTCGGTAATGACCATAAAATTTATTAAACAAATTTTTCAAAAGTGAAGAGAGATCTAAGCTCCTTTGCTCTAAATTTTTTCATTATTTTTCGATGATTTAAATTAATGAACTCAAAAGTATTGCTTGATTCTCTTCTAATTATAATTGAAAATGAAAAATGACATAATGCTGATATACAATAATAAAGCAATATTTTTGAAAGCTTAGGAATAATATTGATAAAGAATAAAGTGAATAAAATTAGTAAAAATAATCATATAATTACAATTAATGAGGATTTGTAAAGCTAAGACTTGATTTTAAAACAATAATATTTGGTTTTAAATGATTATTCCGAGAATCATTAATTCTACTAATTATTCACTTCAATATTGCAGCTTTGATACAATAATGAAAATTATAATAATTATTTTAGTTAAGAATAATTATCGCTGAACTTTTCATTTATAGGTTTTACAAAGGCTAATTGACTCTTGATTTATTCTTTTTTTTGGTGCAAAAAATTTAAAAAATACAAATACCAAATCTAAAGAAAGATATTGCTTATTTTTTTCATAATCTACTTTAGGTTTCTTAACTTTATTTAGTTTATTTCAAGATTTTAATGGGATTTTTCAGAATTTTATTTATATACTTTTGAAAAATATGATTCTAAACAGCAAGTTATTCTATAAGTTTGAGTAATATTTGTTACTATTTTGAATAATACTACTTTTTCAGATTTTTCAATTGTATTGATCCAAAAAATTACTACTCTCCACCTCTTTGGAAGAATTTATAAATATTGTAGAGAAAAAATCCTTGTCAAATCTTTAAAGAAGTCTTCCCTTTCCTTTAAGAGTATGAAATGCTGAAACTCTACTCAAAATTTTTTAATTAAAACCAGAATAATAGATATATGAAATCCTATATATAACAGCTTTGACCCTGCAAATGATATGCTAGAATACAAAACTTATAGTAATTTAATATTATATTTGACTTTGCGAAAAGAAAGTGCGAGAGAATATTTTTGAAGTGCAATTTAGTCTAAGAAGAAAACTTAGAATTTAATTTACAAAAAATCCAATTATTATTATTGAAGTTATTTCTTTCTATAATTTATATTAGCCTTTATATAGAGAATTTTAACAGGCAACTGTTTTATCTATAAATATAAAAATATTTACTCCCAACTCATTAGGTTGATAAATTGAAGGAGGCTAAAAATATATGTTCTTTATCATCTAAAGTAAAATCATTTAATCTTTACTTTTAGAAATATGAGTTACATCAAAGAGTTTCCAATTTTTATTATTACCACATTTAATTGAAAGCTTTCTTTAAATTTACTTTAAATAATAATCAGTGATGCAAATGTATCATTATCTGTATGGAAAATAGTACCCTTATTCATATAGATCATAATATAGAGCTATTACATCTCCTAAATTGATGCAAATTCATGTAAACCCTAAGAAAACTTTTTATGTTATAAATAAACAAAAAATATTATAACTCATAAGAAGTGAATAAAATTCTTTATCTCATAATTTTTTTATTTTAGAAATTCTATTTTTAAATTGATGATAACAATCATAATAACAAACATAAATAAATAATTACATAACCTATTTTCATCTTTTTAAATTAAATTATAATGAATCATTTGAAATCTAGGCATAAAAATTATAAGAAGTTTGGATATTAATGGAGGATTAAATATTGAGCCCAATAGCAAATGATATACACACTAAAAGGGAAGATATCATCAATTTACCAATAAATAAACTGTAATACAGAAGTGAAGATAATTAATTTTGAGTAAGAAATAAGTGAATATTCCAAGAAAAATAAAACTCAAGATAATTTTTCTATTCATCCCAATAATATAAACTAAAAATATTAACTTTAAAATCTGTGGTATTAATNATAATTATTTTAGTTAAGAATAATTATCGCTGAACTTTTCATTTATAGGTTTTACAAAGGCTAATTGACTCTTGATTTATTCTTTTTTTTGGTGCAAAAAATTTAAAAAATACAAATACCAAATCTAAAGAAAGATATTGCTTATTTTTTTCATAATCTACTTTAGGTTTCTTAACTTTATTTAGTTTATTTCAAGATTTTAATGGGATTTTTCAGAATTTTATTTATATACTTTTGAAAAATATGATTCTAAACAGCAAGTTATTCTATAAGTTTGAGTAATATTTGTTACTATTTTGAATAATACTACTTTTTCAGATTTTTCAATTGTATTGATCCAAAAAATTACTACTCTCCACCTCTTTGGAAGAATTTATAAATATTGTAGAGAAAAAATCCTTGTCAAATCTTTAAAGAAGTCTTCCCTTTCCTTTAAGAGTATGAAATGCTGAAACTCTACTCAAAATTTTTTAATTAAAACCAGAATAATAGATATATGAAATCCTATATATAACAGCTTTGACCCTGCAAATGATATGCTAGAATACAAAACTTATAGTAATTTAATATTATATTTGACTTTGCGAAAAGAAAGTGCGAGAGAATATTTTTGAAGTGCAATTTAGTCTAAGAAGAAAACTTAGAATTTAATTTACAAAAAATCCAATTATTATTATTGAAGTTATTTCTTTCTATAATTTATATTAGCCTTTATATAGAGAATTTTAACAGGCAACTGTTTTATCTATAAATATAAAAATATTTACTCCCAACTCATTAGGTTGATAAATTGAAGGAGGCTAAAAATATATGTTCTTTATCATCTAAAGTAAAATCATTTAATCTTTACTTTTAGAAATATGAGTTACATCAAAGAGTTTCCAATTTTTATTATTACCACATTTAATTGAAAGCTTTCTTTAAATTTACTTTAAATAATAATCAGTGATGCAAATGTATCATTATCTGTATGGAAAATAGTACCCTTATTCATATAGATCATAATATAGAGCTATTACATCTCCTAAATTGATGCAAATTCATGTAAACCCTAAGAAAACTTTTTATGTTATAAATAAACAAAAAATATTATAACTCATAAGAAGTGAATAAAATTCTTTATCTCATAATTTTTTTATTTTAGAAATTCTATTTTTAAATTGATGATAACAATCATAATAACAAACATAAATAAATAATTACATAACCTATTTTCATCTTTTTAAATTAAATTATAATGAATCATTTGAAATCTAGGCATAAAAATTATAAGAAGTTTGGATATTAATGGAGGATTAAATATTGAGCCCAATAGCAAATGATATACACACTAAAAGGGAAGATATCATCAATTTACCAATAAATAAACTGTAATACAGAAGTGAAGATAATTAATTTTGAGTAAGAAATAAGTGAATATTCCAAGAAAAATAAAACTCAAGATAATTTTTCTATTCATCCCAATAATATAAACTAAAAATATTAACTTTAAAATCTGTGGTATTAATGAACAGTCCGCAATAGAAAAATGTTTTAGAGTAATGAGTGGAATTTTGCAAAAAAGGAAAAGTCTTCTTCAAAAAATTTTCTAAAAACAGGAATTAAAAAAAAATCAAATTCCACAGACAATTTAAGCTCAAAATTTCTAATTTTTGAAAAAACAGTTTCAAAGTTAGTTCTTTATTTATTTTTATAAATTAGAACTCCAATTATTCTCCTGAATAATCTTTTAGTATCTTCTCTATTTATTGTTCCAGGCTTCTCTTCAGATCCGTATTTGCTTTGCTTTTAATGGCTTATTCCAATATATTATAGAAATTTATTCAATATATTCAGATAAATGCAAAAGTCCACATACTTTGGATGTGAATTTTGCATTTGCTTAAATTTAATAGAAGTAAACATTTAAGATTATTTGGTGAATTCATAAATTCTTAGGTTTATTTGCTATTTTTTTTTAATGTCCAAAATTTGTTCTTCCTATTTGTGTCTGTATTAACTTTTTATTGATGTTTCCCATTATTTCTCAATTGATAAGTCTAAACATGATCATTAAATTAGTTCAAGTAGCCAATCGTATGTACATTTGGGTAATTATAGAATCCTCTTCATACTATA